TTCTTCGAACATTGATTTTTTTGTAAGATTCGATATAAAGATTGTGTCAAAACGATGCTTGAATTTTTCCACTAAAATATTACTGCTCTCTTTCTCGTCAAGAAACATTTTTAACCAAGACGTTTTTTAACCCTTCATGGCATAGCGTTACGAATTCGTAACGACGTATTTTTTTCGGTTTTTAAACATTTAATATTTCCTCTGTGGCATGATTTTGTAGACTTTCATCGGTTTTCCTTTCTTTGAATAACTGATTCCCAAAAATTGGTACACTATCATTTTTATGCAAGCTGCAAAATCAATTAGTGTCCCCCAGAATATGAAATCCAAGATTAATCAATGGCATAGATGGTTAAGAGAAAATTCCGACAACCCATTTCAAAGGATGAAAGTAAGCCCAGTTTTTAACCTCACAAAAGAAGGTTTTCTAACAGGTTCCCAGCCTCCCACCACCCTTTTTCTACTTTTCTGATAAACGGGTAAAGGATGAAGGGAGGATAGTGACCGCCCCCTATGCGCCTATGGACCCGCCATTGTTGACGATCGAAGAAAAGGGATGAATTTTCAAACCCTTCACAAGAAAGGGAATTGAGAAACCTTTTAATTCTCCCCCATACTTCATTTTTCATCAAGTGGAATTTCGGTTTTTTCAAAGTTCCGCTTAATGAAGACGGCTGCATTTGGAGCCTTTGAAGCCTGTGAAGCGGCTCGTCGTGACAACTTAGCAACTGCGAGGGACACAAAAGAAAATAAGGCGGATCGCAAGAGGCGCGGATACTCCTCGGCTTCCAAGGGACCAAACATTATTTTTGCATCAGCGGAATGACAGGCGTATTCGACGAATTTCAGATGAGACTCCTCTTTCACCGTGGTGCCGACTCTCGCTTTGGACGCCAGAAAATTTCTCACTATTCCTAGTGCACCTGCATAGAGTACCTATATTGAGAGAGTATGGCCACTGGGCCCCATGGAGAGGCTTAGGACCCAAAAATGGCGGTGCTTTGTTTTGGTTTTTGTGGATGGGAGGGGGGTCATTGCCAACTTTTGACGGTTATCACCAACCGCACTTGCTGCCAACCTTACTACATCTAAGGTAATTCTCCTCAAAAATTGCACACGATTAGCCTTAAAAATATGTAAAGATGTCGCAATAGTGCATTTGAGTAAATTTCTCGTTACGATAAGCAAAGAAAACTACATTTTGAGTCATTTTGCATTACATTAATTTATAGCGTCCGCCATTTTTGGGTCCTAAGGGCTCCATTTAGCCTAAGATGGCTTAGCCAATCAGAGGTGGTAACCCCAGTGGCCATACTCTCTCAATATAGGTACTCTACACCTGCACAGCGAGAATATAAATGGAAGTGAAACTCCGAAAATCTATCAGGCCTTCACCGATGGCTCTGTGAATAAAGTTAGGGCCCAAAAGGGCAGCCAACCTATGAATTCAAATTATTCAGAGCGGTTTATATTACAAAAGATCGTATTCGATGGTGGTTCGGTGCATCGTTTGGTTCAAAACAATAGAACATAACCGCGAAAAAAAACTTAACGTTTAGGTTGAAAAAGCTGAAAATGAGAAAATTCCTAACAATTACACTTTTCATTGCCATTTGGTGCTCGAAAGAATAAAAAATATATCTCAAAAGACCCGTTCCCTCGGTTTTCAAAATTGACTTTTGAGGCTATGTTTACATGTTGAACCAATCGATATCGATACAGTCTCACCTGTTCGATCCATCTAATACGATCTATTGTTACGACTCAGCACTTGTAATGCGCGTATTTGACTTAGGTTTTGCAGAAACTTACTCATTTTTCCGGCAGAACGCTCATTTATGAACATTTCTCGGCTCTTGGCCATCTTAGTGTGGATTGGAATTTGAAGATTGGCAGAGAAATTTTGTGTGATAGAAGGCCGGCTGCCCTTTTGGGCCCTAAAGCTCTTCATAAAGCGAGCTGTCCATACTCTCGCTGTACAGGTACTCTAACTATTCCTCTACTCGGCCATTACGGAGAAAAGTGGTAAATGGATAATTAAGTTTTGAGACGCAGGGATCTGCCGTTTTACCGAAAAAAGCCGTAAGTGGAGTCTGGAATGATCCTCGAGAGTCTTATGACTCTCTTATTTGCTCTTATGAGCATGTGTTAAACGTGGCTCAAATAGAAATGCACTCACGGCTCTCCTCCGTAGCACGGCATCAATAAATAAGGTTGGAGCAGAAAATTGCATTTATCAAATCTTTAGTTTTTCGTGAGATTGTCAATAATCAATCAAAAGACTCTCGGACTTTGTTCAATTGGTTAAAAATTAACGATTTTTACTATTCCTCATTTGGAGGGTTTGAATTTGATCGACATGAATTGATTAAATAATGAAAACGTGAATCGGTCGAATAATTATTAAAAAACCTTTATCGATTCGATCGACATGAATCTATCGAAAAGTTAAAACGTGAACAGATTAACGTGATTCGATCGACACCCGCGTGAATCGAACGACAAACCCGTGAATCTATCTACAATCTCGTGAAGCGGTCGACAGATTGGTGAATTGGCTGACAAAGTGAATCGATCGAATCACGTCAATTGCGATTCACGTTTTAACTTTTCGATCGATTCATATAGCTTGATTCAACACGGGTTTCATAGTAGTTCGTCGATCGATTCTTGTTTTCATTTGTCGACCGATTCTTTGTTTTCATTTGTCGATCGATCCATGTTGATCGAATCCATTACATTTCATTTCATGTTAAGCAAAGCAGCAGAGAATCGACGACGAAACTCTCAAACCACGTAACTCACATCTCGCGCCATCGCGCCTTCAATTTTGTAGATGCTACACGGACACCCGTCAAGTACGAATAGTTGTATCTCTGCGCCGTTATCGACACGCGTCCTCTCCCTTGCTCTATTTCAGAATTGTGCTGGTTCCGTTTATCCTCTTTGTAGTGGTGCTTCAAGGGCTAGGCGAGCAACACCTTTCAGATTGTTGAACCAGATTGAGCTGTCATACTTTTGTCATACTTGTCATTACTTTTTAAATGTAAAAATATTTAGCGGCAGTTCTTAAAAACTGCTAAAATTGTTCGTCTCTTTGCGAAGAAAAATCAGTGAAAACTTTAAGGTATTAAGTTGATTATTTCTTCTCTCAAAGAGATGAAATAGAAGCAGGGATTTCTAACCCTTCGATGCCGATAACGGGTCAAATTGACACGAAGCTTGTTAAAAGCACGTGCTTTGCGGATTGTATGGAGCCGGTGCATACGAGCTTTAGATAAACGTCTACTATTACAACCTTCCGAATCGAAACGACACCTTGCTCAGCATAGAACAAAGCACCTCAAGTTTACATCTCGCGCCATCGCGCCTTCAATTTTACAGATACTACACGGACATCCATCAAGTACGAATAGTTGTATCTCTGGGCCGTCATCAACACGCGTCCTTTCCCTTGCTCTATTTCAATATTGTACTGGTTCCGTTTGTCTTATTTGTACTGGTGCTTCAAGGGCTACGTCAGTGAAACAGTTCAGATTGTTGAACCGGATTGAGCTGTTGTAATTATATTCTGGAATAGCAATGACTGATAATTTCCATACTAAAATTGCCATACTACGGGCTGATTGCTGAAATAGTTCGATAAAGCTATAAACAAAGATGACAAAAAGGATGAGGCAAGGACAATCGCTTTAGCACACCTAACTTATTCATCATTTGACAAACTTTATGCTTGACAAGTTGCCCAATTTTGCCATTTCGCGCCATCGCGCCTTCAATTTTACAGATACTACACGGACATCCACCAAGAGCGAATAGTTGTATGTCTGCGCCGTCATCAACACGCGTCCTCTCTCTTGCTCTATTTCAGTATTGTGCTGGCTCCGTTTGTCTTATTTGTAGAGTACCTATATTGAGAGAGTATGACCACTGGAGTTACCACCTCTGATTGGCTCAGCCATCTTAGGCTGAATGGAGCCCTTAGGACCCAAAAATGGCGGACGCCATAAAGTTAATGTAATGCAAAATGATTCAAAATGTAGTTGTCTTTGCTTATCGTAACGAGAACTTTACCCAAATGCACTATTGCGACTTTTTTTACATATTTTTAAGGCTAATCGTGTGCAATTTTTGAGAAAAATTATCTTAGATGTAGTAAGGTTGGCAGCAAGTGCGGTTGGTGATAACCGTCAAAAGTTGGCAATGACCCCCCTCCCATCCTCAAAAACCAAAACAAAGCACCGCCATTTTTGGGTCCTAAGCCTCTCCATGGGACCCAGTGGCCATACTCTCTTAATATAGGTACTCTACTTATTTATAGTGGTGCTTCAAGGGGTACGCGAGCAACACGTTTCAAATTGTTGGACCATAATGAGCTGTTGTAATTTAAATTCTGGGATAACAATAAGTGATACAGTTGAGTCTCAACTACCCGCATTTCGGGTCATCCACAATTTTTTGTGGCTTTTTCTGTAATAAAATCACTAAAATTTGTGGCAGGATAATTTTTTTTTAATCAAAGTATCTTCCTGTGGGGTGAAATTTATTAATATTTCGCTGATGTTTTCTTTACTTTTTCTATTTTTCTTGACTTTTGGGGACATCCCGTATAGAGGTGGCGGCAAGGCGTTGACGAAGAGATGTTGCGGTGTCAGTTGCCCGATAACCTCCGGGAAGACAGGCATATGTGGCGTTTGGGGGTCGCAGGACGCCAGAATGCGTTGTAGAGCGACTTTATATTGTACTTATGATTTCATTTTTTACTGATAACTGATAAGTGTTGTAATGGAGCGTTTTGAAATAAGGCTCTCGGATCACTCTTCCTGGCCAAATAGCTTATTTTCGGATTATTCGCGATTTACGTTTATTCTGTGGTAATTGAAACTGTATGTACTTCGATTGAAAATTGAAGTCTTCCTTTGAAAAACTTAAGAAAATTAAGGTTTACTCAAGTAAAATATTAATGATAGTAACTTAGGAGATAATTATTGAGAACTTACCGTTGACGATAAGGAGTACTATTAGTATTTCTGTCAGTTGATACATCTTGACGGCTACCGCAACTTCACTGCAACTCCTTCCATTTTTAACGTTTCTGCAACAAACAAATCCACGAGAATCATCAATTTATTTGTTGCCTTGTAAAGTGGCATTTCTGGGGTAACTACCACAGTGAGAACATCACAGCGTTGCAATATCTCCACTTGCAGATTAACAACTTAAATTTCTTAAAGCCAATATTTGGAATAAGTAGTCTTTATTAGATACTCATGTTGACTTTTAAATGCAACGCCTGCGTACACACTTCACATATCTTCAAGTATATTTAGCCTATGAGGGAGTAAAAGTTGGAGGGAGTTGATTGCATTACAAAGTTTGCAACAGTTGCTCATTTTTTTAAACTTTATCGTGAATTTTCGTAATTTACAAATTTTACGAATATTCGCTGAGATAATCGATGTGAATACACCCGTTAATTAGAATTACAAAAGTTGTCACAGGAAACCTTAAAACGTTGCAATGCGATCAAGTCCCTTCTCCCTCAAGCCATTTTAAATTTACACCCTCAACCCCTTCTCCGCCGCGTAGGTATGTGCTCTGGATCAGCTCGTGGTGCTAAACGGTTTTCCACAAAGTCTGAGGGTTGCGCATTCGACTCCATTTTAATTTAGAATTTTTCTTGTAATGAATTCATAGATTTTTAACCAATCATGAATAAACTAATTCAGTTACAAGAAGGGTTTCTACTTTCTGATGCAATGACTTTCCCCAATACCCTCTGGTATATACACACACCAAATACACGCGTAACTAACAAGCGGAAAATGTGCAATATTGCAACCTCGGACCTGGCGGGAAAGTACGTAACGACAGTGCTGTCGTGCTAAGGAAAAGCGCCGTATGAACATTCGAAAGTTGCCAAATTTCCAACGGTAAAATGTTTATTTTTGGAGAAAGTTATGAATATTTTTCCTTGAAATTTTCAGGAACTTCAGGTGAAATTTCGAACAAAATTATCTGAAAAAATGGAGCGAAATATTCATAAGTTTTCCGGAAAATTAGCGTTTTATCGAAGGAAATTTGGCAACGCCTGAAGATTTGTACGGCGTTTTTCCTTAGCGCGGCGGAGTGGCCCTTGGACGTATTTATGAGGTCGACCCAAGCTCTCAAAAAGTTATACCACCCCCGCCTCTGTCTGGCCTGCTCGGCTCCCACTTAAAAGTTGGAGAAACTGCAGCGCACAAGATTCAATTAAAGGTGTACCACAGGTATGCACCGTCTTCCCAGTCGTAGCAACATCCGGCAAATGGCACTTACGTTGGCACTCAACTAATATCCGAGCTAGCACCGTATTTACGAGCTCCTTGGCTCAAAAATGGAGGATTTTGGCGTTGAGCTGTATTTTAACTCGGTGATCGGAGCCAAATTTCGATTCAGAGGACAAGAGTTAATCAATAAGTTGTATTAATTTATTAAGGTTGATTTTCAGCACGTTAGTGGAATATTCGATGGTCGGCTAATCAATAGCGATAGTTTCTGAAGTTTAGAACAAATCTATATGTATGTTGCAGGCAACTAGCAATCGCCGGCAATTTGCAAGCGATTCACATGTTATTTCAATAAATCGAAATGATGCGCATTGGCATAATGCAATTTTTAAGAATTATGGTCTTCAAAAGTATGATTTCGGCTTGAAGCGCCTTCATTTTTTGTGATACAATACGCTTTGTCACGATGTTAGTTTAGTTGCCTGTCCGACCTGAACCCGACTAATGTCACCGAGTTCGCTGCATGCACTCTCTTCCGAGTGTGCATATTTCTGCCATGTTTTCAAGGATGGAAAAGTGTCTATTAACATTAAAGGCAACATAATCAGCACTCTAATCTTGTTCTTTAATTTTTCAATTTGACTGTTTTTTATATTTATTCACCACTGGCTTGTAAATTTCCGACGATTGTCAATTGCCTGCAACGTATATAAGCTTCCGAGCAACATCACGCTATATTTTTGAATAACGTCGATTACGATTACGAACGTCAGATTTTTTAATCGGTTTCTTTTGGACGGGCCTAAGTCCGAAAAATCATGAGCCCTGGCTTTCGTTGATCACGCCGGAAGCTAGAGCTCATGAGTTTTTGGAGTTATGCCCGTCTAATAGAAGTCGATTCATTTGCACACAAGATTTAAGCGAGTCGCTTTTTAAGTAACTCTAAAAGTATACATACTGGGTAAATTTTTCAAATTCGTGACTTTGATGATCTTGACGATTTCTGAGGATCCTTTGAAGGATTATTGACAATTTCTTAAAAGAATTAATTATGGACTTATTTAACTGAATGGACCGCGTTTAGCAGGGAAAAAGCCACATCAGCTTGTCAAATTTAACTGGGTAATTCAATTTTTTACAAGAGAACGTTAGTGCGAATTCCTTTAAAAGTTTTGAGGAATTTGCCTCGTACTATACAGACAATGGAGATGTTGCATGTGTGATGGATTCGCGATTTGACCATTGACTCTTACGTAAAAGTTCGCGAGAAACACGATGGTTCCACTGGTTTTCTCTGAAATCATCTCCCAAGCTCAAAAAAAGCTCTCAAAGTGAGGCCAAAATGGAGGGGATATCCCACCTTACCCTGAGAGTCCATTTCTACATCAAGACAAACTCTCCATGCAAAGATAGGGAGCAAATACATTAGCAGGGTTGCCGCTTTATTTGGGGACTCCAAAACTGAAAACACGGCAACCCTGCTAATGTACTTGCTCCCTATCTTTGCATGGAGAGTTTGTCTTGATGTAGACGTGGACTCTCAGGGTAGGGTGGGATATCCCCTCCATTTTGGCCTCACTTTGAGAGCTTTNTATGCACCGTCTTCCCAGTCGTAGCAACATCCGGCAAATGGCACTTACGTTGGCACTCAACTAATATCCGAGCAAGCACCGTATTTACGAGCTCCTTGGCTCAAAAATGGAGGATTTTGGCGTTGAGCTGTATTTTAACTCGGTGATCGGAGCCAAATTTCGATTCAGAGGACAAAAGTTAATCAATAAGTTGTATTAATTTATTAAGGTTGATTTTCAGCACGTTAGTGGAATATTCGATGGTCGGCTAATCAAAAGCGATAGTTTCTGAATTTTAGAACTAATCTATATGTTGCAGGCAACTAGCAATCGCCGGCAATTTGCAAGCGATTCGGCTTGCCGCTTTATTTGGGGACTCCAAAACTGAAAACACGGCAACCCTGCTAATGTACTTGCTCCCTATCTTTGCATGGAGAGTTTGTCTTGATGTAGACGTGGACTCTCAGGGTAGTGTGGGATATCCCCTCCATTTTGGCCTCACTTTGAGAGCTTTTTTTGAGCTTGGGAGTTGATTTCAGAGAAAACCAGTGGCAACATAGTGTTTCTCGCGAACTTTTACATAAGAATCAATGATATGAATGTATGAGCCGCTTTCAGGAATCAATGGTCAAATCGCAAATCCCTCACACATGCAACAACTCCATTCACGGAAATTCGCACAAAAATCAGCACAACCCTTTCCGTGTAAAATATAAATTGACGAAATAAATTTGGCAATAGCGGACGTGGCTTGGGTTTTTTCTGCTCAACGCAGTCCAAATTTTCCGCTCCACTTTATCCTTGGTCAATTTTCTTAAAACTTCATTTTCGCCCCTACTGCTCTCTTCGGTAACACGGTAAAGCAGCGGTCACTGCATCGTCTTTTTGTCTCCATCCTCTTGGTTAGAATTTGTTTTTTCTGATTCGATTCACACACGTGAACGCGTGACGGATAGAGAGAAGCAATTGGATCGTATTTGCCCCCTCGATGAAAGTTGAAAGTTGCATTCGCGGCGGAGCGCGGAAAGCGAGGAGCAGAGCTTTCCGAGCTAGCAAACATTATCTTGTCAGGTGCAACAACGTAATTCGACCGAAGCGAGGCAAAGCTCACTGCCCCGGGCTCTACTTCCGTTCAACGCTCCACAAGTTGTTTGTTTGAACCCGCGCTGCGTCTCCGAGCTGCGAGCACTGATTGTTCCCGGCAAGATGCACAAGGGTTTTGCCCCCACAATTCACGGCTGAGTCCGCGAATCGCCACCACTTTTTTTCATCGGAACAATCGGTCAATGGGTCTGATGCATGCAAGAGATGCAGCCAACAGAGTAGACTTTTTACAGGTTTTGTACGAAAATTCACGAGGAAAAGTGTTATGGTAACCCCTACACTGGAAAAAAAACACATTGGATCTAGAGTCCAGACTCTTGAAAACATTGACAAGAAAAAAGGACTCTTGATTCAATCAGATTTAAGCTTAAATCCAAAGGAAATCCGCTCAAATTAAGAGGCTTGGTTCTTGATTTAAGCTTAAATCTGATTGAATCAAGAGTATTTTTTCATGTCGATGTTTTTAAGAGTATGGACTCTAGATCCAATGTGCTTTTTTCCAGTGTATAAACATACCGCTAAGTTCTCTTTTCCACTTCTCTTTGCTACATATTTTATTTGTGTGAAATTGACATTTTGATTGGTGCGACGCAAAGATATGAGAAGTTTATACTCGGATAACAAGTGCTAGAGAGTGAATTTGCAGATTTGCCGCCATAGTTTACATTCCAAACGAAAACTGATCATGTAATTATTTGTAGAATATTCAAATCTTGGATGCCCCAACCTTGCTAAAAACACATGCCCCGCGGTTCGTAAGAGACCGGTGCACATAAGCTTTCGAAATAAGTCTACGAATAGACCCTAAAAAAGAATGAGTATAATCAAATTGAAAACGATAATCAACTGTCATCACAGCCGAAGATAGAAAAAACGTAACTGGGCCTCATTTTGAAACTTTCCTCCCAAATGTGAGCGGCGACTCTCTAAACGCATAGAGGGAGAGTTGCGAGTTCACGCCTCGTGCGATCGCGCCTTCAATTTTGCAGATGCAACACGGACATTCGTCAAGCACGAATAGTTGTATCTCTGCGCCATCATCACCGCGAGTCTTTCGGTTGCTCTATTTTCATATTGTGTTTGTTTAAATCATTTTTAATGACGCTTCAAGGGCTACGTGAGTAAACAGCCGAAGATAGGAAAGCGTGAAA